GATTGAGGGATTAAGAAAAGGCAGACAAGGCCGGGGGGCCGGATGCGGCCCGTTCAGCATTTTAATCCTGCCCGCCAAACTTTTCCAAATTATATAATTTATTTATACTATCATTATACTTCTGCCTTTACCCTGAAATACCCACGTTTCATCAATAGATGGCGTAAAAAATGATAAAAAAACATTTTAGCATTTTAGCCCCTATGCATGACTTTTACATGTCATTTATCTTAGTTCACAGTAATGCTCCATCTATGTGCTCAGTTCAATTTTAGGACAGTTGCGGCCCACGAGTCAAAACGTTTGCCCACGCCAGAGATAAGGGATATATTTGTAACAGTTTAAGTTACGGTGAGGGGCTAGAGAATGCATTATGTCTGTGTGCTTGGCACATCTCAGCTTAGTATGGGTAAGTGCTGCAGAGTGGACAACAGAACGGCAGTCTGACGTCTCAGAGGTTATCGTGTGATGAACTATTCAAATACATAGAGATTGCTACAAAAAAGGACAATGAAAATAGATAACGGTTTTGAAATGAACAGCACAAGTTCCAAAAAACACTTTCTAAAATATTGGCAATCCAACAGTTAAAAAAGGGCTTTGAAATGATCACCAACTGAGGGCTCCTTCAGGCTTCACTAGACATTTAGAGGAGATATTCTTCACTTAGTCATCTGGTGCTTTATGCTTATTGATTTGTAGTCTTCATTTTATGAAAATGTAATAAATACCAGGTTGCCACTGTCTATTGAAGTCTTTTAATAGAGTTAATAATCTAAAAGCGTATTTTTGTGGCCAAGGTGACAAAGTAAACGTTTTATCTTCTTTTTTTTGGATTTTTTGGAAAGGTTGACCTACCACTCCATTCTCACCTGTCATATATTTTATTTATACCTTAGTGATATATAGTCTTGGTGTGGATGAAATGTTCTATTTATTATAAAAGGTAAAAAAAAGTGTCTTCCTCAAAGACAGCCATACTGACTATAGGTGAATATGTTTCAGATTGATCAATGAATGACAAAGCTGTTCATTTCCTGACAGAACGTACGACTGTCTCCTTGATGATCCTTTTAAACACGACTGGCCTCAGCTTCCTGACCTTCCGGGAATCAACTACTCAATGGACGAGCAATGTCGATTTGACTTTGGAGTGGGCTACAAGATCTGCACCTCAGTAAGTACAGCCTTCAGGCTTTAATTTTAGAAAAATATTTTTCAACCTACAAATGGAAGAAGAAAAGGAAAAAAAATCAGTTTGTAAAACTTTTCTAAGACTTTAAAAGGCAGGGCAAGAAAAGTGCACAGCTCTTCTTTTTTGTCCAAATACCTTTGGCATCCATTTCAGCAATTTCCATCTCTCCTTAATGACATTCCAACCAAGCGTTTATGCTACACCTGCATCGCCTGTTTTTTTTTGCCTTCACAAATGACATTCTGAAAAATATCCTGTCACTATATGCTGTTATCAGCAAAACCTTTCTACCTGCCTCACTTACCTTTATGTATTCTCAACACACAAAAAGAACATTGTATGGTAAAATGTGTACAGCTGAAAAGCTGACAGTAACAGTAAATCAGATTTTTCCACATGTGATTAATGAAAAAGTTTGCTGATGTCAAGCTGTGCTGCAGTGGGTTGCCTCAATGGCAGTTCTTTTTTCATTTTTTTAATCAAGATTGCAATCCACTTGACTTATAAGGATAAAATGTTGTGTTTTTTTTTCTCCAATAATTGGCTGTTAATAAAAAGAGTCAGGTTAGCTGTCTTTATACAGTTTGCATACATTAATATACGTAGCTACTGTGACATTTTAAAAAACAATGATGATAATGTTGTGCTTTTAAAGGGTTGGAATGCAAATTCAGTAGTTAGGACTGACTGACTGTCAGTGAATGACACTCTCACTCAGGGTGAACGGGTTCAGGGTCAGTAGTCTGATCACAGAGTCAGGTCTGATCACATGTAGTCACAAGAAGATAAAATGTTACTATGATGTGTGACAATTGATTAACCCTGGGTGAATGTTAATAAGCTCAATAGGGAAAATATTTGGTCTTAAATATTTATAAAATA